CTTTGTTTCAATCCCTGCGCGGCCCTGCTGCCGCACCTGATCCTCCTCTCTCTCCTTCACGCTCGCCGCATCCATTCGTCTCTCTCGCGCTCACGTGAGGCGGGCACGTGCGCCGCGGGGTAGGGCGGGCGGGGCGAGGCGGGGCGGGGTGGGCCGTGCCGCCGCACTTATTGGCCAATTGAGATCTCCGTCTTATGTCTCGCTAATTATTCCTCAGGGCATGGTGGGGCGGGGTGGGGTGCCCCGAAGGAGGATGTTTGTGCGTAAGGGGAGCAAGGAGGGTCTCCCACACCACGTAACGGCCGAAACGCTCGCGGAGTACAAAACTAAACGAGCGAAACGCGATGGCCTCGTACGTATCCGTCCCGGTGGGTCGTCGACTTTTTGGACACACTTGTAAATATTTCCCGCAGCGGCAAGAGTAGAGGGGGGAGGGGGAGGAGAAAAACAGGTGGCTCGCTTGACTGGATGTGAGAGAGTCAGGTGGATGGAGAGGGGGAGAGAGGGGGCGAGGGAATTGCTAGTAGCAGTGTTAAAAGAACACATAGGTATTCAAATATGAGTCCCAGCACACACATACTGTATTGCGACAGCACACTTTTTGTCTAGAAAACTTTGATGTAAAAGAGCTACAACACCAAAAAAAGGCATGGTGCAGTTTTTTGTAATTTTCAACCAAATACTTCAATGCAGAGTAGTTGTTCTTAAACGAACGCACTAATACTTGGCACCAACGGGGAAAAAAACCGTAAGTTACAACAATTCTTGTCAGTGTGCAACATGCCCGGCATTGCCTGGCTAGGGGCTCGTTAACAAATGTGGCCCGGAGGCCAATGGATGCGAACGCTTAGCCAAGCGAGCGCGAACACTTGTCACGGAGGGATAGGGGGAGGGGGGGGATCGGGGATTGGGAGGGGCATAGGGAAGGAAAGGGGTCAGTGGCGCTGGGGAGGGGGTTGGGTGGGGGTTCGGAAACCAGTCGGCAAATCCAAATGAGATCATTACTCGGCCGGACAAATACTACATCCGGAGAGGTCCTGGTGATACAGAGCAAAGGGTTCGCTTCGGGGGTTGGGGGGGAGAGGGGGGAGGGAGGAGAGGGAGGAGGGCGCAAAGGCAGGGAGCGGCAGGAAGAGCAGGAGGCGGCGGCCAAACTTTCCCGTTCAGGCATTGAAGTTGCGGGTCAGAGCAGAGGGGCAAAGCGGGGCGGGGCGGGGGGACTTTGTGGACTCTGCAGCCCCCGTATCCCATCCCCGCGCTCGCTCTCGCGAACCTTCAAAAAGGCAAGCGGCGAGGGCCGCGGGCCGCGGCGGCGGCCGCCGGAGCGGTAGGCCGGCCCGCGACACAGCCGCGCGGTGCGGGCCGGCCTACGTCGAGCACGTCAGGCGCCGACCGGCGGGGACGCATCAACTACGGTTGGGGGATGGGGATAACCCGCACTCAAACGCCGACCAAAACGCGGAGGGTCAGAGTTTTTGCTTTTCTCGTCGTATGGCTGCATCATGTTGTCGTCAGTCGATCCGCGACGGATCGAGTCGGGCGGCGCGGCATAGTAGGCCCGGTGGTAAGCAGGGGGAGACCGACAACGACGGGGAGGACGCGAAGTAAATTTTGTGAGCCCGCGCCAGAAAATGCATCAAGTTGATTGGGTGTCGTGCGGGGGAACAAAGCCATCCTGACTGCGCAGACTTATTTGCAATTCAGTCCGGGGGCGAGGAGTGGAGTGGAGAGGGGTATAGAGCTTCAAACGGCGCGCGCGGGGCGGTGGGGAGCGAGCTTCCAGAATGCAGCGGGGAGGAGAGCGCGCGAGCGAGAGCACGCCGGGAACAGTTTGAATAACTCCGCTCACAATGGCTTCGGTCTCTTCTCCTTCTGGACGACGCGGTCGTCGGGCAAGTTCATAGAGGCCACGACAAGGTCGCAGAGGTAGTAGGTTGGTGGGAGTGGAGCAGAGGCGGGGCGGGTACCTTCTAGAGGAAGGGGGTGGTTCACCGAGAGGACGGCGCGGTGCGGTTGGCCAGTCCCGGCTGTGAGGGTGGGGAGGAGTGTGGGTGGAGGGGCGGGGTGATCTCTTATTCAACACAGGTCCATGTCTTGGAGGAAAATAAAAACCGGTTACGGCCACGGGATTAGAGTGAACGGGGAGAGACGGGGAGGAGGTGGGGGAAGGGGCGGAGACCAGCGGGGGCCAAACAGAGAGCAGGGCCCACAAAAGGTGCCCCAGTGACCTCGCCCCCCTGCGCAGCCCGCCCCCGCCCACCTCGCCGCAGTAGTAGCCCCCCTACCCCGTACCGCCACCACCGCCACCGAGTGAGCAGCGGGCGGATCATAATCCGATACTTTGTGAAGCTCGGAAAACTCTCCCGGGGACAATACTTTTACGTGAGGCCCGGTGTGCCGGCGCCGCGGGCCGCAACCCGAATGAGGGAGGAGACGGCGCTCGGGCGGCCGCCCCCAGCCCGCTCCACTCCAGGACACTTCTTTAATTTCCCTGTAGTGTCCTGCCGCCGCGCTGCTGCCGGCTGCCGCTCTCAGGTCGCTAGCGCAGTCAACCACCGCAGACACCATCGCCCGCCACCAGCACCACCACCACCACCACCACCACCATCATCATCAACACCGTCACCAACAACAGCACCATCCACCCCCGCCCCGGCCGTGTTGAGCACCGTCACTGCCGGGATGACCTCACGCTATCCATACCAATGTCGCCGCCAGCTCAGCAGGGGGATGGACAGGGAGGGGTTGGGGGAGGCAAGCGAGAGCGAGAGAGAGACAGAGAGAGGAGGGAAGGGGGGCTGCGAGTGCGGCAGCAGCAGCAGCAGCGTAGCTCAGCGCACGGGAGTGATTCCGATCTCGCCCACACGATGCATCCCCATCCCCCGAGCTGCTCGATCCGACCCCCCGCTGGACGCTGGACCCTGGTAGTGGTGGTGGTGATAGTGGAGGTGGTGGTCGTGGTGGTGGTGGTGCCGTTGCAGCCCAGAGGACTTTCTCTGTCTTCGCGGTTATCTATTATTCATCCTCCACCTTTAACCTCCCCCGCCCGCTCCCGAGCACACCCTTCCCTCTTCCCCTTCGCCCCGCCCAAGCACTCATGCCCGCACGTGTCGTGCGTGAGGTACCGCTGATACTTCAGTTATTAAACACCTCTTTGATTCCCAGTGTGCTTGTACTTTCAACAGAGCTGCCATTAAGATCATGCAAGGAATGCAATCTCGGCTTGATCCGAAGGCAAAAACGCACTTGGCAGCACTTATAAAAACCGAGCACAACTTAATCGAAGCAGGCACGAGTAGATTTTTTTGATTTTTTTTAGATGTGATTCCCCTCAGTGTAGAATTTGTAGAGATTTTTTTTCGGGCTTTCTCAGGACTTGATTACCGCGTATCTTGGCGACAGGATCGGGAATCAGCCGCGTCGTGGTGAAAAATACCCCGGCCGGGGCCAATTTCCTCTCCCCATCCTGGTGCAATCCAAGCGGCGGCGGCGCAGTGCGTCGTGTCGAGGACCAAGCAAGGGGGCGGCGTCGTCGGTGCAGCAGTGGAGGTGGTGGCGGCGTGATTCCGACCGTGACTTTTTCATGAGGACAGCATCGGCCTGCCCTCATCAGAGCGCCAAGGAGGTGCGCGGGCCGCCGCTCCCCGAGGCCACCCTCACCCTTGACCACGGATTGAATCAGCGGGGCAGCGAGCTGTAATCTCGGCCGACGCACCGCCGGGTGCATTCCACCGCCACGGCCAGCCCCGCAGTCCCGGGGGAGGCGGCGGCAGCAGCCCGTGCGACGTGCTCGCAAACCGGCCGCCTTCAATTTGATCATCCCCCTCCCCCCTCCTCTGCTTTTGGAGCAGGGAAGCGGCTGCTGGGCTGCGCGCGAACGTGGCGGAGAGGGTGTGCTGGGGTTGAGAGGAAAGGGGGCAGTCATGGGATGGGACTGTCTACATCAGGAAGGAGGTTGTCGTGGGACCAAGCCGCCGCGACCGCCGCCTTGCGGCCCCCGATCCGCGGTGTATGACGATCATGAATGAGGCAGCAGATATTGCTGCGCCAAGCTGCAAATCCTGTAGGTGAGCCCCCCCCTCCCCCTCCCTCTCCATACCAGACTTCTGTTGGTTGCGGTCCCCATCCTGTATGTCCGCTCCTTCTTCCCTTCCCATTTTCCTTCCATATACCGTAGGCGGATGAGGCCGAATGAGGCCGCAGGTCTATACGTCCTACACAAGGTAGATTGGACCCGTTTTCCTGACGAATCGAAAACGTGAGCCCTACAGTCTGTTTTCCTCTTATTCTGTATTATTTTCTCGTCAATTTTGTCCGTGGAGTAAAATCCCGGTGCTGCAATCGTCGCAAAGTATGAATGTAAAAGCCCGGTGCTGCTTTGTCGCAAAGTATGAATGTTTGCCTAATGCGCCCCGCCACCACCGTCCTGTCGTGCCATTTAATGAATGTTCCCTCTCATTGTACTCCTCGTCTTAATCATCCTAAGGGGACTGAAATCTGTCACAATGACATCAAGTGGCGTCACTGGCAAAAAGTTAGTCGTTTTGACTGTCAGAAGTGTCGTCGACGAATTTCATATATCGTCGTGACGTGTTTAGGTGCAGACAGTAGGCTCTTGGCTTCTGCGCACACCCTTTAGTCGGGAATTAACGACAAAAAATGAACAAGCTCACAGTACCTCCGAACGCTCCTCACCAGGTGTCGTCATCTTGACTCCGTGGCTCTGTTGGGTGGGAAGGACCAGCTCGTCAAACACTGTCGGGCTGGCTGGAGATCGACTCCCGCCTCAACCCCGCTCTCCGAACTCTGCGGGGGAAGGACCAGCTGGCAACCGACCGTGCTGAGGCGTGGACCATCTGAAACCACCTCCTATGATGGGTAAGTTTTGGAAGAGCGCTCGATGCCCGCTCGGAAGGAGGAGGACTCTAGGAAGGAGGATGGTCGTTGGTTCGAATCGTTCGAATACCGTTTTTCCCGCTTTGCTGAGAAGTATGACAAATTTAGTGAAACGTTAACGTAGCCGCCCAAACTGTTTACACACACACACCTCTTGCCTCTATTTTGATTTTAATATTTATATCCCACATCTGAACCTTTACTTTAGTATGTCAACCAGTGCAGATCAAGAAATAAGTGGTGTTTTCACTAGGGAATTTGAATTGGAAGGTTTGGACAAAACCCTTCTGTTCAACCAGAAAGAATGGGGAGATGTTAGTTGTGTTATTTGGGATGCCTCTTTGGTACTTGCACGTTATTTAGAAAAACGCTCTAAAGAAAACCCCTCTTTCTTAAAAAACGTAAAGACTTTAGAATTGGGTGCAGGTGTTGGCTGTGTTGGGATTGTCGCAGCTTGTTTTGGGTAATATATGATGTGACACAATGTTGGCTTAACCTCCAAACTCAAACTACAATTCCCACTAACTACTACCTGCCTCTTTTCAGAGCTAATGTAACAGTGACTGATTTACCAAGTGTACTTCCTTTACTTCAACTTAATATCAAAGAAAATAAGAATGTATGGGCCAGCGGAGGTGGACAAGTCAGAGCTACTGAGCTTAGTTGGGGCAAGATGATTAATGAACTGGAATCGCCAGACCTCTTATTACTGGCTGACTGTGTATATTACTCTGAGGTATGTACAAAGTTCCTAGCATAAGTTTATGTACTTCCTATGTTTAATTCTAGCAATCAATTAATGCATGTCATCCATATTACAGTCTATTATCCCATTAGTTGAGACCATGAAACAAATTTCGACAAGAGAGACAGAAATAATAATATGTCAAGAACAGAGAGACAGTGAAAAGCAAAGAGCTATATGGAAGGAGTTCATGTCTGAATTAACAAAATTCTTCCAGTTCAATCCCATTCCTACTGAAGAGCAGCATCCTCTTTTTAAAAGCCCTGATATACTTTTGCTGAGAGGTGGCCTGTTACCCTGATTGAAAATAAATTTGTATGCATATCGCCTAGACCCTTTTCTCAATCAGACAGCAAACATTCTATTGTGAAACTGATTTTAATCACAGATAGTGCAAGACTAAAGCTTACATTTAGCATCTCTTATTTTGAACAATAAAATAAATATAATTAGTTAAAATCACAGAATTAAAATTTCCTTTGCAGGATTTTTCATATTTAATTAAGTACCATTACAAAATCACTATAGTTTTCAATGTAAATGCCTTATGAATTCTTTGAAAGTATCACAACATAGATAAATGAAAAGAAAGAAAAATTTATACCTTTCTTGTTAACAGGAAACAAATTCTACCTATAAATGTTTCTGAAAATGAAAACACGCATCAATATTGAGATAATATAACCATTTAGATTAAGCAAAAAATGACTAGCTGGTGACAGAAAACACACATATCCATACTGTTCATCCCTATCATTCTGACTAAATCATTATGAGTTTTGGTAAAAGTGTAACTAAGTACATGTAATCATCACGTGCATTCTAAATAGCACTACAAGGATAGAATTGGGAAATATATACTTAATTTTCAGTACGTAATCTGAAAAACAATGAATTAAAGGAGAAGGAACCAGCATTTGCCCCTTTTAAGTCTTAACTCTCATGGCAAGCATTTTAAAAAATAAAAATAATAATAGTTTACATCTATGGGGTTTTAACAAAACAAGTATGAACTGCTTATGCAAAGTCGAATGCACTAAGTAACAAAACCTTTGAACTGCAACAGAATTTCACAAAAAAATGTTTTTAAGAAAATGTAGACGTATTAATATTTACCAGGAGGATCTTTTTGTACCAGAACAGGGTAGATGAATTGACATCAGAGTCCGGGGCGTCATTGTGAAGACATGCAACTCAGTAATAAAAAATAAATGCACAATAATACTATGACATTGTCCAATTGATGTTAATGGCTCTCTTTCTCTTTTTGGTTAAGTCAAAAATTCACTGGGACATTGAGTGCTGCTGATTAAGTCGCTGTCTAGAAGGAACCTGGAGATTTATAATTTTCCTTGGTTCAGATGGATGTACTAAACTATCAGTGCTCATCCATTCCTGATACTTCTGTTCCTCCTTTCTTTGCCTTCGATCTATATAACTTATTAGACAACTAGCAGGAATCCAAATAATTGCTGATACTAAAACTACTGCACCTACAATATTGTCACGCAAGACTATTAATAACTTATTGATATTGATGTCTTCAATAATGTCCCAAAAACGTTCTACAACATCCTGTACTGTCTTCTCACAGACACCCTAAAGACAAGAACAAACATTTAGAATTTCATTAGATAGTTTCAATGAAGGTGTGTAAAGTAATAAAATTAATTACCTTGTTGCAAAATCCTTGAATACATGGAGTTCCATCGGGTAACATATCTTGTGGTTCCACAGGAAAGCAAGTGTCATTTAAATTTTGACGGCAGCACCGCTTGCATGCATTGGCAACTAAAAGTAGGATAAAAAGACACAACATTAGTCAGATTTCTGAGCAGTAGACAACACATAAGAAAAAGTTAATTATAAAAACATCAAAACAAACTATGTTTAAAAAATCAAGCAAATTAAACTAAAATATGAAGCATGCTTACGATCTTCTTTTTGAATTGTTTTGCTGACTCCTTTCCCTGCAAATTTGAACATTAAGTAAGCAAAGAAAAGTAATCAGATAGATATGTATCACAAAAAAGTCTGGATGCAGAGGTGTGACCACATCTAGTCTTCACTCCCCTACTACCATTTTGACCAACAAAAAGCAAAGAATTGATTCACATTGTACATCAGGAAAAACATGAAATGGAAGCTCTACATATTTCAATAACTGGGGTGAGTGGTAAGATAGGACAGGCACACTGCTACAAGTTCAACTAGGAATTATGAAAATTTTAACACTTTTGAGGTCTCTTCTATAGTATACAAGAACATGCAAAACTTTCTTTACATTTTGTTCACAAATTTAACACCCTGCTTCCACATTGTACAGTATTTTGACTGATACCACTGTGAAAAGAAGATCTGTTATCCTCTTTTTTCCAATAATCTTAATTTTTCCACATAACATATTTTAAGGTCTAGTGACTAATTTTATTAGACCATAGCAGAGGTAGTTTGAAGTTTAGACTAGGAACAAATAGACTAGGTCTTCTGAGACAAAAAAAAAACTATTCCTACAGCAACAAGAAGCAAATTTGAGCTTTGAGAGCACTAAATTCACTACTATATTTTTTCCAGTGCTATCTATTCAAGATACTTATTGGCATACTTACTTATGTCACACATGCAGCTCTGAAGATTTTGTGTTTCACAATATGGAATACATTTTCCCCCACGGCATTGACCACGCTCAAGGCAATTGGTGCCATCTGGCATTGGTGGACTTCGAGGACAATCAGCTGAATTGCCTGTGCAACGTGATTCCTGCTCACAAGTAGCGTATTGAGCCTCTCTACACTTGAGGCCAGTTTGCATAAATTTGCAGTTGTGACAACATGGCGAGTTCTTGTCACTAAAGATTCAAAATTATAAATTAAAACCCGGTTATCTGGTTAACACAAACACTAGGTAATAAAATGTAATTGTATCTTATTTACCTGCATACAGCCCCTTGACTCTTACGGAGTCTACAGTTTTTGTCACAACAGTTATCGTTGTCTTCTGTGCCGAGAAGACCAGCATCACATTCTTCGTCCCCCTCAACTCGTAAGTTTCCACAAAATGATTCTTCTGGCTCCGAAAAACACCGTCCTGATTTAGCTTGCAGAACTTTCCGAATAGATTTTAAAGAACATGGGGAAAAGCACTGAAAAAGAAGTAAGATAAATTGAGATAACTTAAATAAGAACTGTTGAGCACATGTATTATGCAGGAAGCAGTTTTGACATTACCTTGTTGTTAACATCATACCCACTAACACTATATGTGTACATCAGGTAAGATCCACCTTGACTAGCAGCTGGACTGCAATCTGGAGTGTCAGGATCATGCTCTGACCCCCAGTTATGACCAAACTCATGAGCAGTCACAAGGTCAGCCTCTCTAGTAATTACTCTCTGTCCGTAGTGATTACGAGATGAACTCAGACCAGAGTTCAAGTAGAGTGTATAACCATTTTTGAAGTACTCTGGAAAATGTTTAAGAAGCCATTACAGAAAAAATATTTGGCACAATTCAAATGATACAATAATGAAAACTTTATTTGGTTACTGTCATGCAATTGTTTCTCTAACAGAAAATAGCAGGCAAGGCATGTTTTGAAAACTAGGTAAATACTTGAAAAAGCTGTACTCTTCTAATAAATTAAAAAGGTGATAAGAAGTAGTGCCCCTATGTACTGAGACATACAGCCACAAGCCACAACCAGAAAAAAAAGTGCCAAACATGCAAACAACAACAACAATAACAATAACAAGACATGCAAAAGTACAAACAAACAGATATTTGATATTTAGCATTGGAGTGAACAAGCTGAACTGATGAAAATTGAGAACAAAAATTATTACGTAGTTTTAAGTAAGCTATCTGATGTAATGTAATAAAAAAAGTGTTTCTTTCTTTGGAAGTTTAAAAGAAAACTGCACATATCACATTTAGATACAGTTGGACAATTCACTACATACACTACATAAAATGCAAATCAATGCAGTTTTAATTAAATTACTAGAACATTTGAACCCTTTTCGAACCTGGTGTGCAGATCCCACCAACAGAGTTGCGTCTTGGTGACCCAACGTAAGCAAGACCAAGGATACCACCCTCAAACTTTAAGTCAGTGAAAAGGTGTGCCAAACAAAAGTCCTTGTGACTATACTCTCGGCTAAAAACCTGTAATTCAAAGCAGAGAAGACCCTCCAGATTTCAGAAACCACCCTTTCATTGAACATGCGAGCGACCCTTTCAAGCACCTCTTATTTAGTAGTAGAAAGTCTTCCCATGATGCTTCCTTTACATGCATATTACGATCAGTTTTCAACAAAGGTTGTTAGTGGGTGGAAAGAAGAGTAAACACCGATCTTTCAAGTTAGACACAAATTCAAATAAAGTAATAACCATGGGAGCAGATTCCACCCAAGCCATATGGACGGGGTGAGGCAATGTAGGCCAATCCAAGAACTGCTGAGGTGCGAAATGTTTGATGTGTGAAGAGATGTGTCAGACAAAACAACCCTGCATCCTTCAGATCAGCTGAAAATTGCTGAGATGTAATGTACCATGGTTAAGACTTTGAATATCTATATTTTTTATTTTATTTGCAATTTTCCATGTTTTGTTTCAATGAATGTAAAACCAAAAGTTAATAACACACTCAAAAGCAATGTGATAACTCACCTCAAGAAGATTTCGAACATCCCACTTCTCCCTAACCATGTTGTAATGAGCCTCTCCCCCACGAACTCGAGTTGGTTCACTGTGAACTACAATCTTCTTGATGACAAAGCCCATGCCTTTGAATCCATCTTGCTCAGTTCTATCTTGCCATAATGTATCATTGTATATTTTATGGACACGATCAATAAGGCTAATCTGCAGATTAAATTTATCCATTGGTTTTAGTATTATTACATATTTTATCACTATACTCACAAAAAGAATTTGAAGTGCACTAAATAAAGAGGTTATTTATTATACCAAGTAATTTATAGTGGTTTTGGTGTTCCCAGCTCCCATTTCTGTGAAGAAGCGGTAGTCAGCTACTAGTAGAAGAGGGCAGCGAGTTTTAGATGGTGACAACTCATAAGCTTCAGCCTGACGTTTCCAGCGTGATTTCCCTTCCTCAACAATTGAATCCTGTTCTCCTTCATCCTCGTCAGGTTCATCCCATCCTAGTACAAGGGAAAGACTGGAGTAAACTATTTCATAAAGGATTTCTGGTGAATCAGATTTTGAGGGACCTTACCTGGGCCTTCTTTCACATATCCACAAGTTGGTTTAGGTTTACTAGGGCCGTCATCAGGTTTATGCCAACTGTACTGAATATCTGAGGCACGATATGCAATCATTGACTCATTACCAAGGTGGGGCAAATGCCGCCAAGAGGGCTAAAATGGTCGATACAAAAGAAACAATAGTGGTGTTAATATCAATTTTTTTTTCTTCGAAAGAGACTTTGAAGAACAGAGATTGTACCTCAATGTGGTATGTTTCGTCTCCTACGTGGATGGATGCTGTCATCATACCATCCTCTAAGTGTGCACTAACATGTGAGTTTGTCTCCCCAAATAGCCTCCCTTCATAAAAGTCCTCATGATCTGCAAGTGGTACATAGGTCAAAAGATTTGTTACAGGAAATAATTTAATAACCCAAACAATATGTAAAAGGATAACTTACTTATGCTGACAGGCTTTTCAATTCCATCCCCATCTACAATGGCGGCTTCAAACCTTGAATGTAAGACTCCTTTTCTCGGAGATAATATTAATCGAAAGTCTCTGCAAGAGTCACAATAGAATATCATAGAATAAATCAGAACAAAGTAGTATAAAAAGCAATAAAAAGAAAATATGAGTATATGAGAAAAAAACTACAGCCAAACTTACTTTCCCAACGTTCGAAAATTGATTTCTTTAATGTGATTAAATGGATGAGAACTGGGATTAACTCCACGTTTCACTATATTGTGAGTGAGATGAGACAAATGAAGGGTATCAAAATGCTTCAAATTCTTGTAAATGGACCCTGAAAAATTAAAATAACAGATGTAGAAAAAAGGCTAGCTGATAACTGATAAGCCCAGCCCAACCCATGTGGATAAGGTTAAGGGTAATATTTTAGGTCGCAAATCATAAGGATACTGACAAATTAGACGATTGCACAGTTCGTTTAAAATGTACATAAATAAATAAGTATATAAAACACTAGAGTAAAAAGGATTTGGGGAATCGAAGACAATAATCATAACAACAAATGCGAGGGTCAAAAATTAAAATCAACATGTAGACTTACCGTTCACATTCCAGCATTGGGTCAGAAGCAGGAGGCACCAATGAAATACCAATAACATTTTCACACACATTTCATACACTATTTTGGGTCTTATGAGTACACAAAAGTATTGACTAAATGTTTCTACATGTGACAATGAACGGACAATGAAGTACGACAGTTTAGCAGAAGACTCCGATCTTCCACCCCACCCCACTCCCACCTGCTCCCTCCCGCGAACAAAAGAATTTCGAACTCGAACGACAAGTAAACACATCAATCAATGAAATGCGAGTCGTAAATATCGCCGTTTGATTACGATTTCGTATGATGTCGCATCAATGTTCCCTTACTTTGAACAATTTTATTCTGAAATTTGTAAACTAAGTTTACTTCTGCTTCTGCTTCTGCTGTGACTGTACACACACCTAGCGTACACACCTAACTTGAAGAAAAAATGTCTACACTACAGTAACAACATGTGAACAAGATAAAATATTTTTATTAAAACGATCAGAATAACTATCAGAACATTATAAACACAAATTATGTATGTGGCGTGGCAGAAAGTAGTGCGTTGGTAGCATTGTATAAACAGCTGAGCAGCGACGAAGTTAAAAGTCAACACATTTCTGCTTTTCTGCTAGTGCTTTATAGGTGTTTGACGTCGAAACTAATATGTTTCATGTCTAAGGTTTCAAAGTAAAGGTCTCAGAGATGGATTTTGATGTAAAGGTACCAAATCTTGCACCAGAAATTGTTACGACTTCAGTCATGTTGTATTATGGCTTTTCAAATCGCACATAACCTTCAGTTTCTTTTGTGCTTATTTGTGTGCATAATGTCATATTGTCTATTTTACATTATTACTCGTTTGATATCGTTCTGATATCGGTATGTGTGATAGTATTGAATTTGTTCACATTCTACTTTTGTAACTCATGAATTCTCTTCCAGTATTCTGAAAACTTCCAAAGTTTATGAAAGTCATCATGAATCTCCATCATCTAATAATTTTCGTGCTTGTCCTGTTTTGCGGTAATTCTTGGAAGCTGATGACAGTTAAGATTTGCCACTTGATTTCATTTGAAATTAACAACTCATTGTACTTCTTATTTCAGGAGTGCAATCTGGAGATCCAGAAACCATTCTTGACACTGCAAATACTCCTGATATTTTAAGTGATGGTTTAGTTGAAAAGCTCACGGTATGCATCATTGTTTAATCAGTTCTGTTATTCGATAATGATATTTCTATTTGTCTCCTCAGGTTCATCACCTATAAATAAAAACAAATTTTCTCATTTTACTTGTCGCTCACAGGAAGCTGGAGATCTTTCTGATTCTGACAGCTCTTCTCAAGTTGTGGAGGACCCACTTCAGACAGACACAGAAGACGTCAATGATTCAAATCTGTCTGACAATTCGACACTAAGCCCTAAAAATGTTACCCAAGTATTTATCAACTGCTCAAGGTCTGAAAACATATCTCATGAAGTTGAGGTACGTAATGCTCACCATGATTGCACAGCTTAATTGCAACAAATATTGAGACTGTCTGTTTGAATTAAGTTAAACTATATGCTGTTCATTCAATCAATAATCTTTCAAATTTTTCAGATTGTTAATTCTACTCGCCTATTAAATTTGCTTGTGGTGAACCCTAATATAACAAGAGCCATAACAGCAGATTGCCTTGGAGTTTACTTTTTTGCAAGATGGTGTCCATTCAGCACAATGGCTGCACCTCATCTCAATGCTCTTCCGAGAGCATTTCCGAACTTAAGAATAGTTGCAGTAGATGCAATGAAGTATCATATGTAAGATGAACATTTCCTTACCCTCCCCTACTCTTTCCATGTGTTTTGTGTTTGTTCAATCAAGCATTATGAACTTTCTTTTTACTCTTAGGTTCAACACTCAATATGGAGTTGTTGGAGTTCCCACCTTTATTTTATTCCACAATGGAAGACCAGCTGTGAAATTTAATGAGACTGATTATACATTAGAAAGATTCTCTACATTCATAACTAAGTTTACAAGTAAGTATGATCAAGTCCTGTTATTCATTAAGCTTCTAGACATTACAGTACTTAATACAAATTGGTTATAATTTCTACAATACTAAATCGGGCTGGTTTTAAATGTGACTTTTAATTGTTCTAGCAATACCCGCTTTGGAGAAGATATCTGTTACTTCTGCGGACTTTAATGGCCCTGTGCCTAGTGTTGTGGTGAAGGAACCAGATTTCTTCTTGTGGCTCTCCTGGGGTTTTTTGGCTGGATCAGCTCTAGTTTTCTTTGCCAAATCGTCATGGTATAGAAAAATGATAGAAGTTGTAAAGGTTACTTGGAGAGAAAGTGAAGCACAACATGATCATATGGATTAATATGTAGTATTTATTTATATCAATTGTTGTCACATTAGCTTCTTGTCTCACTCCATGAATGTATTTCCTATTACTCCAATTAAAAGAAAACAAACTAGGAGGGATACTTGTTTCATGATACAACTTTTCTTTTTTGCCAAAGTTAAATGAAAGGAATATTATCAAAGTTGATATTGGACACCTGAGGTTTCACTCAAATACTTATGTATTTCTTTTGGTAGTGCGGTCTACAATTCATTTGGTTTTTTCTAGTGTGCTACATGCTACAAATTGTTATAATCATTCTCACAGTTCAAACTTCTGACGATTACAATGCACAGTGTGATGATTTGAGCATATAAAATTGTGAAGGAGAATGGTAATGTGAACAAGAGCGGGTTACTTTATTTCTGTAACCTGTTTCCGATTATATTATCATTAAACTAAAACTTCATGAGTCTCATGGTGGTAGGTTGGCTACTATTGGCAAGATATTTCTACAGAAGAGATATTTATCAGTGTATCCATATATAATCAACACACCATTGCATTATTGCTGAAAATAGTGATAAATAACCACAGGTAACACCACAACAACAAATTTGTAATGAGCTTGTAGAAAATCATCACATCTCATTCTTTGCCAAGCAAGCCAAGCTGCTTGAGGCATTACTTACCTAATAACTTGTCAATACACAATTAACTTAACCACCACCTCGTTAACAGCTAAAAATAAAAACAAGAACATGGTAACAATTACTGAAGGTAGAAAATAAATAAAAATTACTGTAAGCAATGAAATCATTGTTGATTTGGGTCAATTAACATCATAAAATCTCCATTTGTGGAATGAATACCACATCTTGATTTATAAATGTCTAACAAGAACAATATGTGGTACACTTAAAATTCACACTAATTTCACTAGTTTAAAAAAAAACAATATATATATTTTATGATTTGGTCATTTATGTCAGTCCTTTCTCAATAAAAACTAGATAACAACATCATTGCAGAATCATCACATATTTAGGTGTCTTGCAATCAATATGCAGTACCTTAAAATGACACATAGGCGTCTATAAATAAATTTGTGTGCTGCTTAAATGCTGGTTTTGACAAAGCTAAGATATTTTGCAAGTATCATTACTCTGACTTTGTAATAACTTCTCTGAGCTATTTGGGATTTCTATATGTGACGAAAAGAGTGCATGGGAGTAATAGAATATTGGTAATAGTGGTAAAACTTGGATTGCGGGGGGTACTTTAACAAGACCTCTGGTTTTCATTTGACTCACTTTGGAATTATGAGCAAAAAGAAGAAAAACGTACCTTCAACAAGTAGGGTTGACTAGTGAGAAACCCTTTGGGGAAACTAAACTGGTAAGAGACAATGCTTAAATAGGTAGAAAAAAAATGCATACAAATGCTCAACAAAAAACTCTGACTGAAAATATAACAATTTGCTATTGCCTTAAAATTACTTTTCATAAAATTAAATTTTAAAACTGTATATAACAAACATCAGTCACAAAACGCTATTTTGATTAACAAAACAGTATACATTTTACTGTTCCCATCTAGGTAAGATTCAAAATTATCTTGTACTTCAATTATACTCAGTATACTCTTCTCCCTCCTCAAACATTTAAGCCGACTTGTTAATTTCATAAATGGTTGCTTTCACATTCCCAAGCCAAAAAGCTCTTATGATGACCCAGTGTCTAGTCCAAGTAACTGTTTCATAAGTTCAAATGTTGAGAAAGATACCGCAAACATAGGACCCGCCCTGTAGAAGTTAGTACTCATGCCACGGTAGAGTCCTCTCACAATTCCATTTTCTTTGTAGGTCATTTTCAAGGTTCCCCACATACTTTGGCTGTGAACAGAAAACCAGCACAACTCAGAAATAAAAAAATAAAAATAGAAGAAAACAAAACATCTTAACATGAAGGAACATAAGAGAACATACGCAAACTTTGCAGTTTCTTGATCCATCATGGCAAGCTGCATTCGTCTTCGGGTGACATCCAAGGGATATGACACTATTTGGGCAACTGCACCAGCAAAGCCGCCACATACCAACTTGGCAGGCAATAGCAACACTAATCCACCTGTCAAAACATCAATTTGTCGAAGAACTTGTTTACGATAAAGCACACACAAGTTAATGAGATAGAACTTACCAGTATTTTCCGCACATGTTTCGCATGTATAAGATGGAAGATACAGCATGCATAAATTCTTTAGTGTTTCAAAAGAATAAAATGAGCACCCAGCGTATGGAAATATCCCACAAAGTGTGGGTATGAAACCCCGATATAGTGCTAATAAACCGCCCTCCTGTAAAAGAAATAAAAAGAAACTCAGACCAGCTCTAGCAACAGCCTCACAAAATTACACACATGCTGGGTACATACACTTTTATAAATAGTTTTGAATGCATCAATAATGCCTTTGTATTTGTGCTCTCCCTTAACTTGGAAAGCTAATCTAGCACGAACAGTGTCAAGAGGATACGTAGCAGTGACTGCTGTAGTCCCTGCACATGCACCAGCTCCAAATTTAACAGCAAAAGCCCCCAACACAGTGTCAGTTCCTAAAAAAGATTTAAAAGTCTGGAAACAACAATTTCAAAAGCAAATTAATAAATAAAATGGAATAATATTTACTGAGTCATATTCCTGTTTTATAAGACTTAAAATGATTTTCATCTAGTGGAACAAAGTTTCTTATGACTCTAATATGTGATGTACCTTCTTGTATTGTTCAAATGCTGTAAACTGTATGGCTGCGTAGGGAAATATTCGAACCATTTGGGCTCCATTGCCCTTGTACAGGGCCATAAATCCTTCATTTTTACGAATGGCATTGAGGCCAGACCAAACACCTGAATACAAGATACAGGTATAAATAATAACCTAAACATACCTGTATAAATATTGTCTGAGAGAGATGGCAACTGTTAGTTGTTCATTTGCACTTATCCATTGTATTTTAGAGTCAACATTAATGCCGATAAATACCAATTATACTTTACCGAGGTTTTTGTAGTGGCTGTTGTGAGCTTGAAAGAGAATTTTGATGCGATCAAGTGGAGCCACAGTAGTTTTTGAGCACATTCCAGCGATACCTAGTAAATTGATCAAAGAAAAATTGTTGACTTGTAAGGATCAAAAATGACAAAAAAAACAATTCTTTAGCAAGCCCAGGAGCTATGAAACCACAACAAATGAAAGAAACACAATAAGCGCAACACATTTGTGATGCTCGAACAACATTGGAGTGTCCTGAGAGATGATCATTATACATGACAAGAGGGAGAAGATTATTTAAGAAACAATTTTACTTACCTCCACTTAAAAGGGTCTTGTACTGATCCTGATTAGAGGAACTCATGATGCCTGGCCAATAATAGAACTGTTGTAACTTCTACGTCCGGTTTACAGCAGAAACTATTCCAAAACAATATAACAATCGCGTGGCACCTGCTGTTGAGGATGAGGGACGGGTCAGCTGTAACTTTCTCCAAAGAAACGTCTTTAGCTCCAGAGGGGAAAGGGGAGGGGTAGAGACTGCAGGAGAAAGCTGGAGCTGGATGGGGAATCACAGTCTTGTTGCGCTTTGGTTGCTTGTGACTTTCCGGCGCGCAAGGCTGAGAGTGTCATAAAATTTGATGGTGCATGCCTCATTTCGAATGCTGAAGGATGGAGTTTGGATTTTGACCGACACTTTGTGCGCCCTGCGATGCCGCGGATGCACCTTGAATTCAGTTCGACCGGCCACCTTGAGAACATTTGACAAGCACCTCTACCCCTCCTCGCCCCCCCCCCCCCTCTTTTTTTCCACACTGAATTTTTCATACTTACTTCGTTTTGTCAGATCAAATCAAGATGAGAAATATACTTGTTGTTGTTTACAGGGGAACATAACCAAACCATACGTCTATCTTTTTAGTTAAAATATGAAAAACAGGAAAAAGCTATGAATTCTGTCACAGCTAAATGTACATCGTAGTTTTTTGGAAGTTTCTATTGTTTTTCAATCATTCTTCACATCCTTACGTCGATTTTTAAAATATTTATAAACCTACCTGACAATTTAAATGACTTCATCAGAGAATTTAAGCAAGTTAATAAGTTCATCAGTAGAACCTCAGTTGCAAGAAACTGTTTACACATTCTATGATGGTAAACTGATAGTTGCACCACAGAGCAATCAGATTCCTATCAGCAGTGCTAGTGACAACGACTGTTTATCCTCTGAACATGGAGGGGAATTTAACAAACAGGATAAAGATGAGGTCTACATTGAAATATTTCGAGAAAATTTGGTTCATCCAGATCTTAGTAAATCGGAAGAAAATATTATTGAAAACATATCATCAGCCTATGAAGCGTTTTGGAATGGGAATTTTGAAGTTTGTTTGGAGAGACGAACCTGTCCAAAGTGTGGTCACACTTTTCTTACACCAAGCCAGCTTTTTCATCATCTCCAGAATAGCCATTTAATTTCCAATCCTGAAGTAGTAGGTTTTTTTGTAATTCTTTTCATTATGTTTCTGGATATTTGTTCACACATTTGCAGCATTCACGTAATTGACTATTGGTTTCAGTGCTTTGTGTGTGATAAGGTGTTTACCAAAGGAAGAACTGAACACATGAAGATAATTCATCACTTATCTTACCCAGATTTTACATGTGAAGTGTGCTATGAGGTGTTTATGAATGAAACTGAAAAGGATGTCCATAGACTTCAACATATATCTACAGAAAAGTGTAAATGGTGTTCTGCGTCTTTTCCATGTGGATTCCTTTTAAGAGAACACCTCCAGCAATGCCTCTACCAAAAAAAGCATCTTATTTGTATCATCTGTGGTTGTCATTTTACGAGCAGCCACATACTACAGTTACATAGTCTAAGACACAATCGAAATACGTGTGATCTTTGTGGTTTGAAGTTGTGTGAGGATGCTAGTATCAAAAGTGACTACCATGAAGTAACGCTAGTAAAGCATCTGAGAAGTGTGCACAATGGTCAAGAGATTCAGAATATTTTGACAGGATTGAAAAAACAAGATGAAGAAGAAGAAATTCTAGATAAGTTGTTCATGACTCAAATTGAATCCAACATTTCTGAGTTGAAAGGCATGGCATCAGCATCGACTATTGACACTTGTGTACCCAGTAAAGAAAATGCTGTGGAAATCAGTAACCCATCACTTAATAATGATACAAAGAATTTTAAAAACACATCTACTTCAGTCTCTCTTGTAAGTATTTCAGATGTGTGCTGAAATTTTCGATTCTGTTTGTGGGAAATACTTTAAAACTTCCATTTTTATTGCTATTTTTTTTGTCTTCCTTTTAGGATACAATTTTCCGGTGCTCAGAATGCTCAAAGAAATTCGACAGTAAGAAAAAGTTGATGGTTCACGCTCTTGACCACCAGACACCTTTCTTTTGTGATATCTGCAAAATGTCATTCCAACATCGTAGAGGTTTCAAAAAGCATATGCGTTGTCATGGAATTCAAGTCAAACCTGGATTAATTCGGTGAGTTTCCCTCTGTGCTTTTTCTTCTTGTACTTTCTTGGAGACCATCATAAGCATTTTTCCTTCTTTGTCTAAGGTACAAATGCATGCAATGTTCTGTCAACTGTTCTACACTGTCAGGGTTACGTACCCATATTTTAACACATACTGAACACAAGCCACATCTATGTGACAAATGTGGATTGACATTTAGAAGATTACAGGTAGATTGTATTTCTCAATTATCAATTTATACTATAGATAATATGTATATTTATTATTAATATAAATTAAAAATTTTCTTTCCTTAGACTCTAAGAATGCATGAAATTACAGTTCACAATGCAAAAGCATCACATATGTGTCATCAATGTGGTTCATCATCAACATCAAGAAAGTCTTTGCTTCGTCATATTCAGTGTGTACATGCTGGGATAAGGCGTTTTATTTGTGGATTGTGTGGTACTCGCTTTTTACAAAATCAGGATCTTAGGAGACATCTCAAAAGTGTCCACAAACTAGACTTTCCGCCTTTGCAATGTCTCCTCAAAAAATCAAACTCACAGGTGAGTGGGAAATTGTCTTACACACATTTTTGGTACCTGACTATGAACACATCTTCAGTCACACTGTTACTTATTAATTTCTAGATTCATGTTATTCCGTCAGCTGAAAGTATAAATCCTACAGATCCCTTAGTAGCTCTGTTGAAGTCTGCTGTTCGAGAAGAGGAATCTAAACTAGAAGTGTTTAGTAATCGAGAAAAGAAAAGCACTTCATACTGTGAAAAACAGCTGGGGTGTTCAAGACCTGAGACAAGTTCTGATGGACTATCATTAAATATTCTCGGAGATGTGGCATCTAAGGCAATTCCTTTGCAGCAGATAAAACCCTGCTCATCAGAGTCTGTTCAACAGAATTCCAATGCAAAATTGCAAGGAAACTCAGAATTATTTTGTGAAGGTTGCCATTATAAATCTAAGGATTTAGCTGAATTTTCTAGTCATTCATCAATGTTCCAGCTAGGAAAGTCACACTGTGCTGCTACTCAACAAAAATGTATAGATTCTGCTTTTTCATCAAAACCTGCAATTGTGTATTCTGTGGAACCTTTACAAGGCTCCGCTACCTCGCCCCAGAATCTTTCTGTATTTTCAAGTGAAAATGCATTACCTCCTCCTGACTCAGACCTTCCATCCA